ATGAAGTCCTGACTCTCTTGGGAATATGTTTGAGTTAGCATTCCTTGCACCTCCCTCTGTACCCAACTCACAATGACCAGGAGTGATGGAATTTTCCTTCAGGGAGTTTGGAGTCTGTTCCCTGGATGCCATCCCCTCTGCTATCACCTTGACCCTTCCCTGCCCCTGAATCACACTGGGGTTTGGTATATAGCAGTGCCTGCTGTCTGGCTCCCCTACTTTCTATTTGCCTATACCTCTGAAAACAGTTGGCACCTGCGTTACATTCTTCTCCTGGAAAAAAAAAAAAAAAAACCCTTCAATTATATACTAATTTCTACCATGTAAGCTCTGTACACTTCCAAATGGGTTCTTTTGGCTCCCAATAATTTTATAACTACCCTACATCCAAGCTTACTTTCCCTACTCTTGTGTTCCCATTAATATAGATTTTACTTAGAGTAACTAAGCTCCTCACAACCATGCCTCCTTTATGAAAACACTCTGCTCATTCTCTCACCAGCCTTGGTGAATTTATTCTTGCTGTTTCCTTCTTCAGCAAGCATGTGCACACATGCACACGCACAAAAGTTTGTCATGGTTTCTAATGACTAATTTGTGTAATATCTATAATTCCATCGGTGTACATATACTCACGTATATACACATGAATATACATCTCATATTGATTTCCAATTGCTAATAAGTCAAAACATGTGTGCACATTCATTTATGTCTACACACAGTCTTGCATTGTTTGCTAATTTTTGTTTTACATTTGTTCATGCTCCCTCCAAAACAGCATTTAAACTTCTGTAGAAAGTAGACCTTTTGTGCTTGGTAGGCACTTACTTTCTGCTAAGCAAACATCTAGAAAACCTTCAGTGAACAAGACAGGCAGAATCCCTGCTCTCCAAATTCTCATGGTCTGTTGAATTGCCAAGATTTGTTATTTTCACTTTTTTGATAGGTACATAATATGTGCTCATTCTTTAAAAATTTAGAATAAAATGGAAAGCCAAAAGAAAACATATATATCATCTATGTTCCCACCAGAATGATCAAGTCTTCCTGAAAGCTCTCACTACTCATTTCCTGGGTGCCACGGAGAAGGCCACCTTATCCCCAGGTATCACGTGACCACCCCATACTTTCCTCCTACAAAATGTCACCCCCTCAGACCTTCAGGAGTTCTCATAATTACCAAGCACAATGCCGGACACGGCTTGTGAGTCCTCTCCCTGTTAGCAAAGGCAGGACTCAGATGATGTCATGAGTGAAGACCTAGGGACAATGACATTCTCACTCATTACTCTCCTAAGGAACCCCAAGTTGCTTCACTCTGCAGTACCAGGTGAATGAATGGCTATTCACTTATACCATGGAGGCATTCAAGCAGGTATTAGAAAATAAACCTGGTCAAGGGCCCACAATGATGCAGAGAGGCCCATGTGCTATTGAAATGAACCCCATACCACCCATCTTTATACACTACCAGGCTGTAAAAGCAAGCCTTTATTCTCCTTCTTCATACAATGAACAAAGGCGAAAGGGAAGGAAGTTATGTTGCAATATTCTGAAACATAAATCTTGCTACCAGCCAGGGACAGTATCCTGTTTTCCTTACACATGGATCTGATTCACTGGAGGCTGGGCCTATAGGACTTGTGTTCTGTTTTTCAATGGAGTTTCTGCATTATACCTGGTGGCCTGCGTTTACACATCTGGACATGGGTTGTGCAAGCATTTGTGTGTCCAGTTAACCAACCACTGTGTACAGATGTTCATTGGCACAGTTTACACCCACTCAGAAGTCTTCTTTCCCAAGTTGGGACATGCAGCTTCTTTCTTTTTCTTTATTATTATTTGTTTTATGTTTAAGAAGTTAAATAAAATTAAATTTCAACTCTAATAAAAGAGGAAGAGATTTTCATGTTTTCTCCTTGCTGTAGCAGCCTGCTACACCATTCCATCACCCTCAATCTCACTTTCTGCTTTGATTAGAATTTAGTAATCCCAGAGACAGTTTCCAGGGGTGTCATCAGAGTGCTACTTGAGTCAGGGAAATGGTTGAACTACTCAATGCTTTTTTAATTCTGGGAACCAGAGGTAGATAATGCTTATTAGTGGCAGATGAGCAAAGGCAGAGCTGTGGCCCTGTGGCTTGCTGGTAGAAGCCTTCTTAGGTGAGAACACAGGGCTTTGAGAGGAGGGAGGAGCTGTGTACCAGGGAAAAGTCCACTAGAAAGGGTGGCCCTGGGAAAGGAGTTCTCTGAAGCGCTGCTTTGGAAGAGACGCAAAGCTGTGGCCATTCAAAGGTTATCTTGCACGTGAACTTTTTTTTTTTTTTTTGCCAGGGAAGACCAATTTTAGAATTTCACATCAGCTCAAAACACACTTTCTTTTCCTATTACAGAAGAGATGTCTGTGCTTAACACTGGAGGGCAAAGAGTAGAGGTGTCATCACTCTATGCAAATGCTCATGACGCTGCTGCGTGTTGCCACAGAGGACCTTAACCTTTGCCTGGACAGAGAAGAACAGGCCCTGTGACATCAGAGAGGCTGCAATGGGAATTATCTAAACAGTCACTTTTTTTTTTTCTGTCACTAAGAGCATACCTGACATGTTAGTACTGAGGCCCTGAGCAGCTCGATAATTTTATGTGGCTTCTTATTCTTGATATCCACCACCTCGCTGTGTTTGGTCTCAGCCATCGGACCAATTTATCTTTTACACTTCAAACAGGGGATGAATTGGTCAGATCACTGAGACTTTCAAAAACAATTAAACAAACAAACAGGGTTTCTCAGCACCAGCACGACTATCATTTGAGATCAGAGCTCTGTGCTGTCGTGAGATTTCCTGTGCATTGTAAGATATTTAGTGCCAGCTCTCAATGCCAGTTGTGCCCACTAAATACCAGTAGGACCACCTTTCCCCAGTCCTCACAATCAAACACACCCCCCAGAAACTGCCAAATATCTGAGGTGGGGGGGATGTTGCTTTTGTTGAGAATTATTGGCTTAAAATGATCTCATGTGAGATTAAATTAAGTAATCCTTGTGTTTGGGGCACTAAAAACAATTCTATCCGTTGTTGAAAGTTATATAGGGAAAGAAAGGAGAGTCCCTGTGTAGATCAAACATCTATAGGTAGATAAATGACAGGAAGCATCCTGAAGAAATAAACAGGGAGACCCCATGTAGGCACCCCACAGCAAATATGGGAACCTAAGGCCAGGAAGAAAGTGGTCCTTTTTGAAAGTAGGGAGGCACTGAGGACCACGCCTCTATCCCCCACCATTATCTCCAGAAACCGTGGCCTTGACCCAATATGGGACAGTGGATTGATTATTAGATAAGAGGTCTATAGATGGACATTTTTTAAAGCACTGTTTATTTAATGCAGCATGACTTAGAATGGGCCTGTAACCTGACAAGTGTACTGAATGAGGAATGTTCAATTTACCAGTTCTAACCGGCCAAGTCCTCACATGAACTTTCTAAGACCCAGCTGAAAAGCCTGGGAAAGTATAGAAACCACAAACCTTCAGCTGTTCCTCCCCCTCGCTGCCCTACCTGAAGCATTCCTGTGAGACCCACTTAATGCTCCAGAACTGTTACAAGATCTTCACCCTGGGAGCCCCCATGGCTGACAGACTGCCCCGGCCTCCACATCAACCAACACCGAAGGGAAAGATTCTGTCCTATTTTTTAAATGTATTGAGCAAAGAAGCAGCTTCATACATGTTTCTAAAGGATGGCGATCACCCGAATTCACTGTTTCCCTATTTTAATCAATGATATAGACTTTGAAGTCAGATAAATTTAGAATTTAAGTGCCATATTTATTTGTCAACTGTGTGACTCTGGGAAAATTGTTTAACCTCTCTGAGCCTCCATGTCTGCATACGTAAAATGGGAACAATACTAATAGTACCTAAACAACAGGTGGTTTTGAGGAATGTGTAAGATGACAGGAAAGTGTTCCAACACATTGGCCACTGTTGTCATTACTATTATGGTTGTCAACGTTACTATATTCATCCTTCACTCATTATACCAAAAAAAAAACATTTATTCAGCAACTTCCATGAGCTTCTAATTGTTAGAAAAACTCAATTAAAATTATAATATTGACTTTCTTAAAGACTCGGAATTTTAATCAAATAACATTGAAAACAACCAATAAAGGTCTTCACTGGTGGGTTATGGAGGCTTTGAATAGAGTCAGCACATAGTAGGTTCTCAAAAAAATATTAGCTCATGATGATAGCATTGGTAGTTCTGATATTGAAAATTAGGTGATTTTGCAATCTTGATTCAATTTACTTGTAAGTCCCTACAAGAAATGATTTATTTTGAAGCAAATGAATGCTGATCTTGCAAGAAAGCACATCTATTCTCTAAACAACATGTTCATCAGGGAAGGGTAACATTCTTTATTATAGCATATAATAAGCATCCAGAGTCTGGGAGGTAATTCTCACTATTGAAAGGAAAATGAATTTTGACTAATTTGTAAATATAGATTAGATCTGTTGAGTTTATAAATTTCCACCTACAAAGAAATTAGTGGTATGTACCAAAAATATAAGAGTAATAGTCAACACTGCTCACCTATTTGATAAAAAAAGGTAGATTTCTAAACCCTCAGTTTAAAATTTTTCTTCTTATAATATTAATTTATATTAGTCACCATTTACGGCTAAGACTCTCCCCATGGGAAATTGGAATATAAACAGGTTTAGACTTTTGTTCTTGTCATCAATTCTTTCACAACCCCGTGTATTTCAACACAATTTAATGCAGTCTGTTGTCAGTTCTCAGCCCCTTAATTATCAAAAGAAAAAAAAACTGTTTGTTTTCCAAAATATTGTTTCACCATCAAAAAGAAAGTATGACAAAAACTCTTTTGATACCCATACAGTAAGAACCCAAGATGTTTTCAGGCCTATCCCATGTCAGACTGGCCCAAGCCAAGGTCAAGGAGAAATGAACTTTCCAAAGGAGGTCCTTACCTCAAATATGTTTGCAGGCTCATTGCTGTACTGGTTGGATATAATTTCTGATTGGTCGCTGCACCACTTGAGTCCACCCAGAAAGCTGTCTGTGTCCAAGTCGTTCACATCTAGTTCAGAAAGATCAAGCTCAGGAAGATCTGGGCAAAGAGGCTGGTCTTCACCAACCAGAGCAGCACACTGCAGGAGGCAAAAAAAAAAAAAAAAAAAAAAAAAAAGCTTTCATTAACTGCAGGAATGTATTAAACCACAATAGCATGTGATAGGAATTAAGCCTCGTTAATTCAACGACACCACCAAAGCTGGCCTCTGAGGCTTTAATCACCAGGGAAAACACCCTAAATTCTTTTCCCACTTGGCTCCCAAAGGATACTTTGCTTGATTTATTCCATGCAAAATTCCATCTCTAAATCCAAGATAAGTACTTCATGAAGTCCTCTCTGAGTCTTCCAGTTAGAAAGCCACGGCATGTTTGTACCACTTGGAGAGTTAGCCCTTATCACATCAGACTGTCTTGTGCTTAACTCTATGTAAAATCTTACTCTACCCTGAGAGTGTAATCTCTTAGAGAAGAACACAAGCTTGATTTCACCTTGGAATTATCATGCTTTACTGGACTTTCCCTAAACAACTGGCACGTGAAAAACAGAAGACAGGAACTACATGAGGAGAGCTTTCTCCACTTAGACTCTTTTTAAACATTGTCATCCTTATCCTTCATTCAGCAACTAATGATGCCAGGCCTTTGACTCATCTGTGGTCCTCTTGAATTATTTCTTAAATCATTTACTCTCACTGACTTTTTATGAGTTACTGGACTTCATCCTTAACAGGTCAAAGCAGGTTCCTTGAGATGAAGAACAAAAATCATATTTTTTTCTATGCGGCCTTTATATCTCACTCTGAGTTACTTATAAGACATGGTGTGTGTGTGTGTGTGTGTGTGTGTGTGTGTGTGTGTGTGTGTATTTGGGATCACCTGGCACCTGGAGAAGTGGAGTCACAATAACAACACACCACAATTATATTTTGTTCATCATTCAGGTGTATCTCAACTATGTTTCAAATAAATTCAAAATAGCTATTTTCGTTCAGAGTTATAAAATTATTTCAATATATTGAAAGGTTTAAAATATCCTCTACTGCAGCTGGACTGCTTGTCCCCAAGGCCATTTTAGATTGCCATATTCTTTTTCTTCCTTGCGTGTAACAGATATCACTTAACGGCCCCACCCTGGTGCTTTCCAAGGAAAATGGACCCCATTACCAATGAAGTGGTCTCCTAGAACTGAATCAGCTAACTGATGGCTGATTCCAGGCTGCATACCATAAAGAACCCTGCAGAAACTCCTAGGGCCAGGGTCTGGGGATGCCAGAGTCATAAGGACATTGTCTACCTGTGGGCCAAGCTGTCTGAATCCAGGCCTCCCACTCAGAAGCAGGACCCTCCTGCCTCTACCTTACGAGGTCAGGAGAGATGCTGTCCAGTTGTTCACATCCACGCAGTCCTTGGGCATGAAGTTGCAGATATCCCTTGACATTTAGATTTTGAATAAGTTTTATGTAGATTTCTTTTTCCTCAAGCACCCCTGTCATCCCTGGCAGGCTGCATTACACGGATCATATGCAGCAGTGTGATGATAAGCCACACACTGAGAAGTAGGGCCTGGGTAATGGAGTGGGCAGTTAGTAAGAGAAGAATGGGAGGAGTCTGCAAATCACTGCAGTTCTTCCCTAAGGCCACCAGCCCCGTGAGGTCCCCAGCTGCAGGCAGAAGGTAATAGAAGGAAAGGGCTGTCCTCTCTATCCAAACTCCTTCCTTATCATTTTATTGGTCTTTCCTTTTTATTATATGAGCCCAAAGTTACAGATCAGTCTACTCAACTAGGTTGAAAGCAATGGAAGCTAGACAGGAGAGAAGATCTCGTCCCAGTCCAATGTTCTTGTTTTGTTATGGGTGTTACACTCCCCGGGCACATTCTGGCCCACCCTGCTTACAGTCCAAGCACACACGCTCAGTGTCAACTCTGCTTCGCCACCATCCATTCAGAGGCAAGGGGAGAACTTTGCCCACAGTGCAAAAATACTAAGCTTTCACTGGGGGTTAGTCCTTTAAAATAATCAAGCATAAACAGCATCAACAAATAAAAATGTTGGCTGTCTACCTCTGCCTTAAGTTCCCGTTGTGGAGCTCAGGAACCATGTTTTGGGAATACTGACGGGTCATACCAATGGACTGGTGAACAATATCTAACTGCCCTCTCCAGGCACACCCTGTACAAAACCCCAGAACTTTCCAGAAACGTGTAAGTCCCTTTTGAAAGCCATTGACTAGACCAGGTCAGTTTCTTGTGTGTTACTGTCTTGTACACATCCTTCTCTCTCTCCTCCAGTTCTCCCTCTCCTATTATGCTTTTACCTTATGGTTCCAAAAAGTGCCTGTGCTCTTGCCAATGTTGACATGCTAATAAGATCAGTGCTTCTGAATGTGGCATTATTCTGCTAATCTAAAACACATTAGTCGTAGCAAGTGTCCCTGTTATTAATTTATATTTGGCCTTTGGATGGTGGCAGACACAGTCCGAGCCCTGTAACTGTCCTCATCTGACACGCTGATATTTATGACTTCCCCATACATCTGTAACAGGTGTGCTCGACTGCACTCACACAGCCTCGTTCTAGTGCCTCCTTGCAACGATGACAGCTATGTCACAACTGTAGCCTTAATTTTATAATAAGATTTAAGAGGATAAAGCAGTCACTAAACACAAAAGGCTAATTATTGTACGTTATTTCACCCCAACAGACTTTTCTCTTAGTTAAGAAGGAGACAATAAATTAGCTTAACTGCACTGATGATAATGAATCATTATAATTAAGTATAATTCTCCATTAACCTTTTGGAGGTTTTGATGGTAAATTTTAAAGAGAGAGAGAAGAAAAAGTGGACTCAGCCACATTAATTATATTAATGAAAAAAAGAATCTTAACTTCTTTAAAAAAAAATTAGTCAAGACAAGGGAAGGGGGTGGCGAGGAGGGCCATAAAGAATGACAGTCTTGGTGGAGTGTATGTCATGTGAATTGAATCTATCAATCTTGGTAACCTTACTGTACATCACCTTCATTAAACTGTGAAACACGGGGACTCCGAGCACCTCCAGTGATATGGGCCTTTATTAACCAGTGTGCTGTCCTGTCATTATGTGCAAAAGGGCATAAGACGTTTTAGGATGACAGCAAACATTAATGATTCAAAAAATGAAAGCTGCCTACGCTACCTGCTGCTCTAATATTTGAAACTGGCAGAGGTGATTCCCAGAGCGGCTGTCTCGAAGGCAGGGCTTCTAGCAGCTGCTGCCTACAGTGCAACAGCGACTGGCCAGCCACAGCGGACCTGCGACTCAATCCACGGCTGGACAAGGAGCCCAAGACCTCTCCCCCTTCAGAAAAGAAAACGTAAAAGGCCACCGTTCTGAAGGGCCTGGATACTTATTGGAAAACGACTGCAGGAATTCCGGTAGTTAACATTAACCTTCCTTATTTCCATATGAGCTAGTTCCTCAATCAAGTAGCAGCATCAGGAATTATGCATGATGGAAAAACGAAACTACAGCAGCAGAGACCCACGGTGCCAGCCAGACAACCACCCACAGGACACTCCAGGCTACTCAAACAATTAGGACTTTGAAGCCACTTAGAACCCCGACTCTTAATCGCTACAGGACATATGAATTCTCCATATCTATTCTGCCTTACCGAGAAATCACAACAAGATAAGAAGGATTACAACCCACAAAATACAATCCACCAAGGCAAGAAGGGCAGCCAGAGCCAACGTTTGCAAACCCAGCAAGGAGTTAAGAATCCAGGGCATGCCTCGCTAGATAGGAAAAATGCATTCGCAGCCGGCCTTGGCCAAATTATTTTCACTTTAGATGTGTATCGCCACACCACATGCACATCTTATTTAATCAAATCACGTGTGGCACTTGATCCTCCCCCTTACCCTACGTGCCCCCAGCTACCCGGAGGAAGCACTCGCAGTCCTTTGCCAGTTTCATTGTTAGCAGCTCGGATCCTCCATGCAATTCAATTCGGGTCCATCTCAGCAGAGTCCTCAGAAAGTTTCGCTTGTTTCCCAAGTTGCCCAAACTTTCCGGGAACATTCCATTGTGCTGAATGCAAACACACCGAGGTCCTCCGTCCCCCAGCTAGACTCCAGAGATTACGAGGAAACCGCTTGCGTTTTTTTTTCCCCCTGTATGAATTGTAGCCAGCACAGACTGTGGAATTGATGTATTGCCGTCTATTTTTACACAAGCAGTGAGCAGCTCCACACACGGTCCTGCATAAACTCTATTCTCTCTCCGGCTTCAGGCAGCTCTCCGTGGTACAGGGAGATTTAACCATTGGCTTCCCTGCCACCACCAGCTCAAACAGGAAACCTTGCACTATAAGGCTTTTTTTTTTTTTTTAATCCCTGACCAAATCTTTCAACCACACATAGGAGTTTTAAAGGAAGCAGCAGCATCATTTTATATTTTGTGGGAAAAGCAATCTAAGACAGTCCAGCAGGAATGTTTAGGATTTTGTAAGTTCTCTGTCTGATGAACAGAGAAAGAAAAAAAAAAATCCGGACTAGAATCAAAACGGACTATATTTGAACGCATCCATTTTAATATTTTTATCTTCATTTTCTTATAAATAGAAATGGCATTTTTCCAACCAGGCCACTAAACACCACTGGAAAGACTTCAGCTTCTGATTCATATCAATATCTTAGAGCATAAATATTGCATATGAGTAGAAACAGAGCCAAAGGCACATGGAAAGAGTTTCTAACTGCAACAGATACTGATGACAGCAGCTGAGCTTTGATTTGCTCAAGGCATCTCAGAGCCACCTTAAAATAGCAAACTTATTGGAGTTAAGATAAGATTGAGATTCCCTTCCAAAAGCTCCCGCCCAGCTCCGGCTACTTTTCTGCCTCCTCTCCTCGCCCAAGCCCATCCCCCCTTACAAGGATAATTGCATCTGAGGGAAGCTGCCGTCCTGGCTGCAATGCCTGCGGAGCCCAGCCCCAGCTCACCTCGATGTCACTCCATACAGAGTCCTGGCTGCACATGTCCCACGCCATCCAGCTCCTGAATGACGCCAGTCAAGCTTTTTCAACTCCAATCCACAGTGACACCGAGCACACACTCATGCAGGCAACCAGCCCCTTACTGAGAGTGAACTGAAGGCACCTGTCTTACTACAGTCCCCAGTCACATGACAAAGCTATTAAAAAGTAGGCTGGGCTGTCACTCACCCAGCCTCCCTTCTCCTGTGCAGCTTGCTGCTCAAACTCCTGACGTCACTCAAAGGCAGCCCTCTGCCTCAGTGAAGTAACGCTTTAAAAAAAAAAAAAAAGAAAAAGAAGAAAGAAAGAAAGAAAAGAAACACTTGGACTTTTGGAGGTTTCAAGCATCATGCTGTGATTAAAGCCAGCTTTGAATGCCACAGACTCTAAACGGAGCCCTGGCCATATAATAACTAAAATCCCCTGCAATCTTTTTTTAATTTATTTTTCCTCCAAAATGAGCAAGGGGCAAAGCTCCCTGTTTCACGACAGAACAACTATATTCTTAACTAGTATGTGTATTCTCATAGGACCATAAGATCTCCAAGTGGACCCAAGCTCAGTTTGGGACTAAAGCAAGAGCTTATCACATGATGCATTTTTATGAGACATTTTCTAATTGGGGGAGTGTTTGAAAGCAGCAAATGAGGCATTTTTTGCTTGTTTAATCAACAAAACAGCCTGTATTTGTTAAGGTATAAACAAACTCCTCTACCCAGAAATCGGTTGTCCCCGTGTGGGTAGGGAACACCAGCTCTGGAATTGTTACTGCAGTTTGCTCTGCTCCATATAAGGAGAGCAAGCCACAAAACCTCATCCTTTCAGCTTCCTTCTCATTATTTCCATTTCTTTCATAGGCTCCCAGAAAACAAATGTTAGTAAATACAGTCGCGGCTGCTGTGCTGAACAGCTCCGGCTTTCAGCTGCCTTCTTCCATACATGTAGCCTTTCCTCCCTGACTGCCTTAGGGTGCCTTTTTGAATAAACATTGGATTCCAACCCTCGTGCCCTGGGTCGTGCAGTTTGCGTGCAAAATCAGAAATGTCCATGGAGTGAAGGGAAAATATCCACATGCCATTAGCAGAAATATTCACTTCTTGAGCTTCACTGTTTTATTATTTCTCAGCTCGTACCTTGAGACAATGAGGGCTAATGCAGGTGCTACTGTTTTATGATGACACTACATATTGAATACATAACAAACCCAAGGCACTAGAGACAGCGGAAAAATACTTCCCATAACATTACAGTGGTCAGACTTAACCCTTCCAAGTTCCAGAGGGATGTACACAGGTATGTATCTTTGGGAAGACAGGTTTCATGGAACTCCAAACCCAATAGACTTTTAAAAATCAGCTTAATTCTTTTACCAGACAATAATTTGTCTGAAAATAAAGTTCCCAGGTATCTAGAAATAATTTTGAGAGCCCTATTAATTTAAATTCCTGTTCTACTGAGGTTGATTTAATGTGTTCTTTATTGTATATCTCCTTATGAAGAAAAGAAAGTGGTGGTTTTTCTCTAACACACACTTTAAATATTAAGTTGCTCAAATTGTAAAGTGAAAGAAAGAAATACAATAAAAAACAAACAAGATAAAAAGCCACCAGACTACTGTTTCTTTCATACCACTTATATTAAAGACTTCTCTCCTCTGATATCTGCAACAAGTTGCTAGTAAATTTCTGAATAATTGTGATTAAATTGACAAGTTTGTCATTACTGGACATAAAAAGATGGCCAACAGCTTTGACATTTTAAGTGAGCTGAATATATTTCCCTGGCATATTTTCCCTTATACTTAGCAGAAAGTTGCTGTAGTTTTAATTTTCCATGTTAAAAAAAATTAAAAAGGAATATACAACTTTGAGAATGTTTTCATGAAGGCAAATAATGGCATTACTTTGTGTTCCCCACCCCACCCCCCAAAAAATACTAATTTTCCTCCCAATTATATTCTTACTTAATGTAAAACTTCAGTAAATTATTAAAATTCAGGACAAAGGTCATTGGCTCTACCCTCAACACAGTTAACTGTGAAATGATATTGGTCATTTGGCCAAGAGAAGTCGATGTTTATTAGCTATTATCAAATGATTCCTGCATCGTGAGAGTCACTGACGATTTTCTCTGTCTCCATCCAAAGATGGGCAACCACCATGCTTTTTTAAAAAATCCCATTCACACCTTTTAGAGATGTTCCTTTACACTAGAGCATGTTGCATTATTGTTTTTGATATTTTAACCTTCACACATTGTGTAGCTGCGGGATCCATGCTCCTCTTTTTTTGCCACCTAATTCCACTTCTTAAAACGGTCAGATCAACATAGCCACCCAGATGACAAGTGGTTTCATATATGCTGTATTTTTAGGAGTCAAAACATTGCCAGGTCTCAAAACCCCCGACATTTTGCCTTCCCCCCCCCCCCCCCCCACCTTCCATCTCTACTAGTATAAAAATCCAAATTTAAACCTATTGGTAGGACAAGTTAGAGTACCTGCTACTATTTCTTTTTTAAGTCTCAAAACTATAACTCAAAGGGATATTTTAAAGTTCTCCTAATTTGGTTAATGAACTCTTCAGATTAAAAATTCTCTACTGTCCAGTTTTTGGGTTTTTTTTTTTTTTTCTTTCCTCAGGAGAACTTAAAATTGTTAGTTGCTCACCAACCTTGGTCTTTTCTGGCTCCCCAGGCAGTTTCTATATTTAATTCTCTCTCTGCCTTGACGGCTGATCTTCCCCTCTCCCTGCAGCCTCTCTTCCACCCCTTCTACAACTCTGCCTCCAAGGTTTCCAAATGTTTGATTCAGTCAACGATAATCTATGGAAGCCTTACTGTGTGCCCAGCAATCCATCGCAAGGACTGCAGAGAGGGGGTATGACTGGGACACAAGGGACCTTGAAATTTTAGGGGGATGACAGACCTGTGGAGAAAAACAATGCCATGAAAAAGCAGTATCATTTTCTTCAATATCCAGATTTCTTTTTCTACTCTTGAAAGCACACTCTATTTAAGTACAAGGTCCTTTCACTAACCACAACGAATCTGCTCCAAAACAACCCCATTTGCTCCCAACAATAGGAAGAGGTATTTATTAACATCTGTTGGATGCCTATAATATAGTATATCTACACAGGGCCTGGATCCCACCCCCTCATGGAATCCACCACTCAATAGTCCTGTTAATGTATTCCAAAGTCCCCACATTGGTGGAGGCGGGAGAATCTGTCTTTTGAGTTGATAGGGGGATGGTGGGGGGAGAGAGAAAGAATAATTCAATTCAATAATTCGTAAGAACAATTAAATTCTATAACAAAAATATTTGAAGAAGTGTTTAAAATTTGGGTTTCTTTCCCCACTCCTGCCCCCAAATTACAAGCTTTGTCCATCATCCATATTTCAGACAACTTCCCATTTCTTTTTTATTTTGTAATTATTTTTTATTTGTAGTTGGATTATACTACCTTTATTTTTTTTTTATTTTTATGTGGTGCTGAGGATCGAACCAGGGCCTCGTACATGCTAGGCGATCACTCTATCATTAAGCCACAACCCCAGCCCAACAAATTCCCATTTCTAAAAAATAAATACAATCAAATTGGAACACTCAAACTCATTCCATAGACTATAGCAAAAACACTTGGTGTCAACACTGTATCCAGGTGAGCACAAAAGGAAACTCAGAAGTAAATACTATTAGTATAAACATCTCTTTGATTTGTTCTTGTAGACTTACAATGAGAGGAATAAATTTAAGGTGGAACATTTCAAGGAAGAAAGGGAAAGAGGAAGACATACAGCCAAACTTGCACAGGCTAGTACTGAGATCGTCACTTCAAATTCTACATGTCTATCAAGGTAGTCCTAAAACTTCCCAGGAAAGATCATCTGTGCACCCATTTTACAACTAAGAAAAATCAGGCAGGTAAGAGTGAAAAGCAGTTGAACAGAGTGAGCAGAACCCTCCTCAAATCTAAGGCACATCAAGGACCTCTGAGATCACTTTGTATCTAAGGAAGTGTCTGGAAAGAGGTATTCCTGAGAATTCTGCATGCCTGGAACAATTCTCCCAGAAATAAAAGAGACCTGCCCAGAATTGCTAATATGTTTAAAGTTAATTATTGCTTATGGCTATTCAATTGCTGGCTCTTAGTTCCTAGAGGGAACCATTGATCCTTGTATCCCAAGTCCATTTCTGAACATGTATTTTGGGTCTCTGGTTTGAAGCTGAGATTTTGCAGGGTACAAAATGTGGATGCAGAGTAGGGAATACCAAAGATCTTTATTCTTATAAATACTCTCAAATTAAATCTTATTTTACACAAACTGCCATGGTGATGTCAATGTGAGCAAAGAACCTTTGGGAAAACCATTTCAGGAAGGTTGGTGGACAACATTAATGCCTCCTAACACTTTTTTTTTAATAAACAAGAGGTGATAGACAACCACAACAATACAGCTCTCATCTTCAATAAAACCTTCTTCAGAACAGACCTATGTGCTTTTGGCATTTTTCATATTACAACAAAAACAATGTGAAAATTAATCTGAGTTGTAGTCAGTTGGACTAATATGAACATAAAGCAAAACGAGAACACAGATAAGTAAAGGGGTAATAAAAGAATGGTTAAAATCTGATTTTATCATGTGCAACTCAGTCATAGTTGTGAATGTACAGACATTTTTATCTACCTTAATTATTTTGGATTAATTCACCTATAATCGAGTTCCTGATTATTGAGGCAAGAAATGTTCAATAAGGTTATTTACCAATGTTTTAGCTAGAAGAAAAAATAAGGCATACCACATTTTATTTAATCTGGCATTGTTTAAAATTTAAGATGCTACTGCACCTCAAAAACATAATATTCAATTTAAAGAAAGATTTCATCCCACTAGCTGCAGTTAATAAGGGCTGGGGAAAACTAGGGTTTGCAGATTGTTAAATCATAGTCAGGCTGTTCCCCTGGCACTGTTTTTTGGAACTTGGTCCTAATTAGCTTAAGTTTTCTTAATTTTAAGGGAGAAAACTATATTTTGCACACACTCTCAAAAAAAAAAAAGGATGAATGAGTGAGATTCTGGGAAATTCTTGGTTTGTTCTTTTTCTTTATCATATCAGACAGAGCCTTGGAAGAATTGTGGAGTATT